AAGTGCATCTTCTTATATTCAATATTTAGTTTTTTATACAATAAATCTTATATAAACCAAATATGTCCTTCTAAATAAAATGTGACATCTACAATATGCAGTTATACACTAAGTATAATCTTTCACTCTTAAAAAATATACAACAACATTCAAAATTAAAACACTGATCCTCCCAAGGTTTAAGAAAAAAACGTAATTCTGATTTTTTATTATGAATAAAAATATGTAAGAGAAAAGTCAATCATTATCCGATCTAGAAAAATAATTTCATGAATAATTTTTCTAGTTCTAAAAAATTAAATAATACTTTTTACATATATTTTTATTTTTGTGAGAAAATAAATATTTTAAAATTTTCGATTTTGAAGACTATTTTACTTTTTAAAAGTTTTTTTTTATAGTTTTCATAATAAATTATGACGCGACTATTTACGTTAACAGATTTTTCATTGTCATAAAATTAAATGTTAACAACTGATAGTTAAGTTAGAAAACTCTAAAACGAAGACTAATCAACATTATTGCAAAAATGGAATTAGCTGCATCAAGTATAGTTGATTAGAAAACCAAAACTCTATAATAAATAAATTAGTCATATCTACCGTTCCACCCAATTATTCAAATGGAAAACTCAACGCTTATAAATGCTACAAATAAAATATTACCATGTTTTATATAAATAATAATAGTTTTCTATTTATTAAAGATAATAAGTTTGAAAAGCCTAAATTTGTGAAGACATTATTAGTAGCACATGTTTAAACAAACATAAGTTAATATTAAAAGTTATCGACACTTCCATTGGTGAAATAAATTATTCGGCAGCATAAAGAATGCTAGCATTATAATAAGGACGAAATGTTTTAACTAGATTCGACAATTTTAATAGGTGTCCATTATAGCATGTTTCTCAAATTTGACTAAAGTTCTGTATACAAGAAGTAAAGTAACTCTCTTAGATTTTATAAAGTATTTTTTATATAAATAACTTTTTTTATTTAAATATTTTCTAATGAGATTAAATTTAGTTTCTTGGTCTAATATAAGATTAAGTTAAACTAAAATAATGGTTTATAATAAGTTTGGATCACCAAATTTTTTTACTTCACCTATGAAAATATATTAAATTGAATTGAATAGTCTATTTTGACACTCCTAATTATATTATTAAGATTTTATAAAGTATTTTTTTAATAAATAACTCTTTTTTATTTAAATATTTTCTAATGAGATTAAATTTAATTTGTTAGTTTAATATAGGATTAAGTTAAACTAAAAATAATTATGTATAATCAATTTGAATTATTTATAAAAATATATTCAATTGAATTGGATAGTCTATTTTCACAACCTAATCATATTGTTAAAATGTTTAATTCCGTTTGTTAGTTGTATTTTTTTATGTCCCAAAGTGTAATTATTTCTCACGCAAACTATTGAAAATTGATATGATAAAACCATTTGTTAAACAACTTTGTTTCACTAATATAAATCCGTTCATTCAATTGTATAAAATTGCACTACACCAAAATTTACCAAACATACCATTGTTAGTGAACAAAAATTTAATTGTCTCATTGATAATCAACATTATCTCATGTAGTAATTTTGAAAAAAAATTGTTTTAATAGATATAAATAAATGCATACCTTATAGAAAATCCTAAAGATGTTAGTTAAAATTATTACCCCTTTATCTGTTTTTAAATTACTTATAGATTTAATATTAATAAATAAGATAGATGCTTAATTTTTGTTTTCTGAGTGTTTGGAGTTATTTAAAATAACTTTTATCCATAAAGAAAAATGATGTGGCAAAGAAAATTATTTAAAATTGATTTTAAGTTATTTGTTTAAGTGGTTCTTCTTTAGACATAAAATTCATTATTTTATTCTACCCAAAAATGACTCATAAAATGAACCATTGAGATTGGTGGAAGGACGAACCCGATAATGAAACATATACGAAGAAGAAGATGAAAAATCCCTATTATAAAAAAACATAATAAATCAAAACTAACTATCACAAGATGAAAAACATAAAACCAAAACCCATAAACGTGATAGGGACAAACAACCCACAGCGAAGCAGAAGCCACGAATGTGGCAGCGACGAGCAACTCACCATGGAGTAAAACTCCTGAACGCATAATAAGGAGAAAGGGGAAGAGCACCATGGAGAAGAAACATTGGCATTGCAGAATAGAAATCTTCAACACAAATAGGATGTGTGGTGCATAAGGCACAACAAATGGGAAGAGCAAGGGGAAATGATAAGGATAATGGGAGAAGAAGGAAATGAAAGGGGTGGCATGGGGTGAATGTTTATAGAATAATGACTGATCAAATTAATTACATTCAATAACAAAATTGGACCGTTGGGTGCTAGTAAAACATAAATGGACTGTTTGATTATAAAATTGAGTCATTGAATTGTACGGTAGTATTGTTCAACGTGTTATTCATTTTACCTTTTTTTTTTATATTTGCTCGCATTTTTTTATTTAATTATGGATGGTAGTTAATTTAATTATCAATATTATTATAATTTACTGTATAATTAATCCTCTCATATGAAATTTTTAAAAATTATATTTAATTTGTATGTTTACACCACCTCCACCACTTGTATTATATCAAACATAAGTATTTTTTTTTCTTTTGTTCAATATAGATCTCTATTTAAGACATAATATTATCTAACTTGATGGAAGTGGTGAAAATATGTTTACAAGAAAATTTTTCCTAACATTTTCAATATCACAAAGCATTTTAATTTAGTCATGGTTAAATATATCACAATATTAAATTAGTAGAGTTGATCAATCATAACCTAATAGTAATATTGAGAACACATTAAATAAATATGTTTGTAACATCTCATGTTATTATTCTCTTACTTCAAATACTTTAGTTGTCCATATAATGAAATTTAAAAACATTTATTTAAACACATCATTATTTAAACAAAGTCATAGATAAATAACTCAAAAACAACGATGAAGAAGAAATCAATAATATTAATACTTAATTATCAATAACATGTCTACAACACTACCAATGATAAACAAAGAAGAAATATGGTTCATTGAAATCATTAACTAGGTCATTATAGATTATTCGATGATTATTTTGTCTAAAAAATATGTGTACACAAAAACTTAATTTCAAATAAAGTTTCATATGCATAGAAGTGTCTTTTTATGAATTATGAAGACTCTTGACAATTACAATTGATACTTCATGATGAAGTTAAACCCATTACAAAAAAGAAGTCTATTACTAGTGTAGATGGATATATTCAAATTGGTAAAAATAATGTAGTGAAATAGTTACAACAATTTATATATATTGCACTTGTGCAATCTTATAGATGAATAATTGATGATGTATAGCAACAAAAACATTGATAGATTACTATAAATGAAAGAAATAGGTAACTTTCCAAGTATGTTGGGGTATTGCATGAAAAATTGCCTAGTTGCATAAAAATGTCATTTTTCGAAAAACAACGATGCTATTTTGACAATCATTCTCAAAAATAGTATCACAAAACTTGTGGATTTGATATGTTATTTTTTGACGCTAAGTCAAACAATAACATTAGTGTATTAAATAGATCTAATATGTGATGAAATAGTGTTATGCATCTTTAGTAAAATATATTATAATATAAGATATTATTTAGCAGATAATATTTATTTAGATTTTGTTATATTTTGTGAAAACCATTTTAATACTTAAAAAAGAAAAAATTATTTATTCATCGAAAATAATTAGTAAAAAAGAAATTTGAAGATGCATTTAAAATACTTTGATCTTATTCACAATTATACGTGATAATTTTTTTGGATATTCATATAATAATTTATCATTGATAAAAAAATATTTAATAACAATTATAATATACCTATTATAATAAATGGTATAGTTACAATTTTATAATTACGAAAAAATTATTATAATGATTCAAATTTAAATCAATATAATAAATTTTTATTATAACGGTTAAAAAATAAATCAATATACAAAGTTATTTTGTTTCTTGGATTTAACATTAATCTATATAGAAATTTCTTTTCTTGGTAATGAAATTGCTAGTCCTTGCACGTTTCTATTCCTTTTTTCACTTTTCCATATTTTTACAATTACATTAGCCCACAAATGGCGTATATTTGTTTTCTTTTACTTTTTAATTATTATTTTACTCTACATAAACTTTATTCAATTTTTAATTACATTTTATATATTTTTTAATTTGTTTAAATTGATATGTGAAGAAAAGGTATGTAATTTACAATTAATTACTCAAATAAAATAAAACTCAGTTTTTAAGTAATGTTTTATTATTATTTCCAATTTTATGAAAATAATTACTTTATAATTAATTATCTTTAAATTGATATTTATTCATATTTATTTTGGTAATTTATCATATTATTTAATTAATTTTTTAATTTTATTCAATTAATTAAAAATTTTCTATTTTTTATTTTTTACTTTTCACATTTTTTACTTTTAATATAATAATAACCTTACTTTCTTTTTCTTTTTTCACTTCTTCAACCCACCCACCTAAACTCCCAAAACAAAACTTACATAACATTATTAATTGTATGCGTGCCAACTTGATTGAAACTGTCGGTGGACATATTTTAGAAAAATGCAGCCACCAACCACATTCTTCCTTTCAAATGTTTACGCGCATTGGACCATTTCTATTACCTCTCTCATTCGTCAAATAATTAACCTTAAAACACTTATTACTATTTTTGAATATTTAAATTTCTGTCCATATTCTCTTCATGATCGTGATCGCTATACCATGATTTACGACTAACCATCTTTTCTATACATGATGGAGAAAGAGAAAACGTAGGGATCATGGAGCCAAGCTAGGAAGAACAGTATTTGGTTTTAACTTAGTGTGTATATAATCTGCAGTTTGGCGGATCCAAGAAATGAATAAAAACAAATCTACAAATTTGAATAAGCAAAGAATCATTTGGCAGTAAGCACAGGATTCAGCTGAAGAGGCCTAGGTGGTGCCATGGTTCTTCTCTTCCACAGATTAATCTCTTTCCGAGGCTGCACATTAAGCATAGGTGCACCACCAACCGTAAGAGGAGCAGAGAATGGGATTATCACCTCATCCTCTGCGTCGCTCTCCACTCTATCATCATTGTCCGAATAACAATCCCTTTCCTCAGGCGCAATCTGAGCCTTCCAATCGAAATTCGAAAAAGTCTCACGCCCACTTGCAAATCGCCTCATGTGACCCAACGCCGGCGCTCTCTCCACCTCCGCATCAGATTTTTTCCTCGCCGCAGATTTCGGTTTTCCCGCGTGGAACAACATCCTCTGAAACTTTGAAGCCTGTTTCTTTTCCTCTGTCGTGTCTCTGGGAGTGGTGGAAGGCTTGCTTTCTCTCGCGCGTGTAGGCATCGACATGCTCTTTGCCCCTCCCTTTTTAACGTGCTTCTTCTTGTGCTTTATCTGTCCCATGCACGAGATTTTGGGCGATGTGGGCTCTTGAGTTTCAACCCCGCCATCCTTGGGCTTTCTTCTAGCTTCATCGGGAATCATGGGGCCGGAGAAGAACCCTTTGCCACCAAAGCTTTTGAATTTGTGGTCCCGGCCAGGGCTGAAGGGAGGATTTTGGAATGTCACTGCTGCTGCAGCTTTTGGCAGTATCTTCAAGATCTTGCTCTTCAGCTTTGATGGTTTATTCTCTTTCTCCATGGATTCCAATCTCCCAGCTGTGAAGAAATTGTTGGAACCAGGAGGGCTTGTGTTGTATTTATATGTGCAACTCAAGAGAAGTTGAAAGGGAAAACCATAGCATATGTGTGTGCAAGGAGGAAGAGAGGTTTGCGTGTGTTTGACTTTGTCAGAAAAGGTGGGAGAGTAAGACAGTGAAAGGTTTGGTCAAATAAAATCGCTGTGACTACATAGGAAAGACAAATGAAACACCCCTCTTGGGCTTTATGCTTAGGCCGAACAATATCACTGTGCATTTATGTCACAAATGTGAAATAACATGAGACTTTTACTATCTGCTAACATATGCAAACACAGGCTGCTGTCAAATGCAGATTATATATTTTCTTAATTGTCATTGGAACGGTTCTGTAGGAGTGGTCACTGGTCATGGTCAGTGTTTTTGTTTTCTTCTTTTCTATCAAGCACGTAATCAATTTTGGTATTATTTTAATTAAGATTTTCGACTTTTTTTTTATTAAAATAATATTATTATATATTATATATATACGTAATAAAATCTCCGATAAAATTATTTATTTAACTGAAATCTCTCATAAAATTATTTACTTAACTGAATTTTTGTTACGATGTTACGGTTATATTTAAAATTTGGTTTCTCATAAATTGAATTCTAACTTTAAACTTACCATTTTTTTTAAATAAAAAATTAAATAAAATATATAATTAAAAATAATAAAATTAATATTAAAAATAAAATTTTAATTTTAAAATTTAAATAATTTTTATATAAAAAATAATAAAAATAATATATTATTTAAATATATATTAAATTATTTAAATATATTTAAATAATTATTAAAAATATTAAATAATAATTTTTTATTATATTTTATATATATATATATATATATATATTTTAATAGGAAATTTAAAATTTATATATTTTTTTATTATATGAATTATTTAAGTTATAATTTTAGAAAAAATTGATAAATTTAATATATAAAATATTAAAAGTAAAATTAAAAATAAGTTATTAGTAGCAAAATAAAAATTATAGAATATAATATTAAAGAAAAATAATAAAGGTAGAAAGATTTTTATAGAGTGAAAATAATAGAGGTTTAAGAAGAAGAAAACTCTCCATAAATTTCTCTTGAAATTCAAGAACAACCACACCGACGAAATCCAAAGCGTAATAGACGCGTCTTCGTTGTGGAACCGGACACCACTTTTGAGATTAAAATTTTCTTAACATTATTGTCAATAATTTTATTTTTCAATTTTTATTATCAATGATTATGTTATTTTTAATATTATACATTAAATTCTGTCAATTTTTATTATTTATTATTTTTAAGTTTATTTTATATTAATAATAATAAATTTTAACTAATTAAATAATATTTTTACTTTATTATTTTTAAAAAAATTTAGCATGAATTTTTTAATATAATATTTATAATTTATCAAATAAAAACTATTACATAAATTTTTATAATATAATATATTTTTTAATATATTACCTAAATTAAATTTTTATTTATTCTATTTTTTTCTAAAATTATAACTTAAATAATTCATATAATAAAAGAATATATAAATTTTAAATTTCCTATTCAAAAATAAAAAAAATATAATAAAAATTATTATTTAATATTTTAATAATTATTTAATATATTTAAATAATTTAATATATTTAAATAATATATTATTTTTATTATTTATATAATATTATTTAAGTTTTAAAATTAAATTTTATTTTAAATTAAATAGTTTGGTTAATGTTTTAAAAGTTAAGGTAATTTGGATTTACAAAAAACTTAATTCCAAGTACAACTTTCAAAGATGTTCAATTAAGTAAATAATTTTATAAGAGGTTCAGTAAATAATTTCTAAATAATGTTATATATATAATATAATAATATTATTTTACAAAAAATATAAGATTTTCATCCTTTTAATTATAATAATTATGATATTTTTTTCCTTAAAATATATTTGCAGATTTTCAAATTTTTAAGTTATAACTAACTATTATTAAAAAAAAAAGTTATTACCTTCTATAAATTAATCATATGAGTCAAATCAAATCTCTCACTAATTTTTTGTAATAATAAAAACAAAATTTCTCTCCGCGTTCATCTAAGTTTATTTGGCTTCACAAGTTTTCCATGGTGTCTGTTTTGCCCTTGAAATCGTCATTCTCCGACTTGTGAAGTTTTTATCCAATGACATGACACGTGGGTCAAACAGATGAAGATAGCGACGAACGCAAGGTTTTGGTGAAATAAGACAAATTTTGCATTTGCTATCGCTGCATAAACGTGGATTTCCTTAGAAAAGTGAAACATTATTCGAATTATAGGTTAATGGGTTCAACAAATCAGAAAAATTATTTCATATTTAACTCATTAACTTATCTTAATATATTTAAGGAGATGTTTTAGCTAATGAACTTATTTAATCTAAGTATTTTAGTAATTTAAAAAATAAAATACAAAATGCATGTTTGGGTAAGCTAACCCACCATCTTATATATGAGTTACTATAATCCTTTTTAATTTAATTCATAGTGAGCTAATCAATATGAACTAGATTGGTCCACTTTGACTTCTACTTAATATTTATAAGATAAACAATTCAAATGGTTTGTAATTTCCTATATGTAATTTTTTTATTGTCGACTTGTAATAGTTTGAGCGTTTTTTTTTTTTTTTTTTTAAGTTGAAGATAAAATAAACAGTAGAACCAATTATACAAGCCAAGTAAGACAAAGCTTATAATTTAAAAACAATAATAATTGTAGGTACAAAAACAAATATATATATATATACATATGCTTGAGTTTTGTTTCTCTAAAATGTTATTTTTAACTTTTTAATAAGAACTAAAACCATTTTTAAAATAATTTTTAATCTATATTGGTATAAATTTTTTATAACTATTTTTCGATTCAAAATAACATTTTTAATAAGGATACTTGTTGAATATAGAAGAAATAGAGTTTTGGATTAATCTCCCTTGTGTATAAATCACACATAGGGTAGTCTATTTATAGTAGAAAGATACAACTAAAAGAGTAACTGAAAGTAATAGAATAAACAGAAGATATTATTTGATATTGTGGTTAACAATATCTAACAATATCTTAACAATATCAAATAATATCTAAACAATATCTAGCACTCCCCCTCAAGCTGGAGCATACAAATCGTATGTGCCAAGCTTGTTACAAATATAATCAATTCTAGGACCCCAGTAAAGATTTAGTAAAAATATCTGCTAACTGATCACTTAAGTTAACAAACTCAGTCTTGATGTCTCCAGACATAATCTTTTCTCGAATGAAATGACAGTCAATCTCAATGTGTTTGGTCCTCTCATGAAAGACAGAATTAGAACTAATATGAAGAACAACCTGATTGTCGCACACAAGTGACATTTGAGTGATATCTCCAAATTGTAACTCTCTAAGCAATTGCTTGAGCCAAACAAGTTCACAAGCAGCTGATGTCATAGCTCTATATTCTGCTTCTGCACTAGATCTTGCCACAACACTTTGTTTCTTACTTTTCCATGAGACCAAGTTACCACCAATGGAGACACAATATCCAGATGTAGATCTTCTATCCGAAGGAGATCCTGCCCAATCAGCATCTCGAGTAGCAAACAACTCTTGTATGGTTATTAGAATCATATAACAATCCTTTTCCAGGAGATCCTTTAATATACTTTAAGATACGAATGAATGCATTCCAATGATCTTCACATGGGGAATTAAGAAATTGGCTTACCACATTGACTGCAAAAGAAATGTCAGGACAAGTAACTGTAAGATAATTCAATTTTCCAACCAATCTTCTATACTGCTCAGGATCAGGTATAAGCTCCTCTCGATTTGGTAGAAGTTTAGTATTGGGATCCATGGGCGTATCAACAGCACTTTGAATTCATCAACCCAGCTTCCTCTAAAATATCCATGGCATACTTCCTCCGAGATATAACAATACCATCATTGGACTGTGCCACCTCAATACCCAAGAAATATCTAAGTTTGCCAAGATCTTTAGTCTGAAAATGGTGATAGAGATGTTGTTTCAACTGAGAGATGCCATGGTTGTTACTACCTGTAAGAACGATGTCATCAACATATACTATCAAGTAAACACATCCAGCACTTGAGTGTCGATAAAAGACAGAGTGATCTGCTTCACACCAAGTCATACCAAATTGTTGAACAACCTTGCTAAACTTTCCAAACCAGGCCCTAGGAGACTGTTTTAGGCCATATAGGGATTCGCGAAGACGACATACCATCCCGAAAGACTCCCCGAGCAACAAACCCAGGAGGTTGCTCCATATAGATTTCTTCTTGCAAATCACCATTGAGGAAAACATTTTTAACATCTAGTTGATAAAGAGGCCATTGTTGAAGAGCGACCATGGCAATAAATAAACGAACAGAAGTCATCTTTGCCACAGGGGAAAAGGTATCTCCATAATCCAACCCAAAAATTGAGTATAACCTTTGGTCATAAGACGAGCTTTGAGGCGATCAATAGTACCATCAGGTCCAACTTTGATAGCAAACACCCACCTGCAACCAACAACAGATTTCCCAGACGATAACGAGACCAATTCCCAAGTTCCACTATTATGAAGAGCACTTAGTTCATCTAACATGGCCTGACGCCAACCAGGATGGGCTAAAGCTTCACGGATAGTTTTTGGAATGGTCATAGAAGAAAGCGAGGAAAGACATGTATAAAAAGGTAATGACAGTCGATGATAACTCAAACCAATATAATGGGGAGAGGGATTACGTGTAGAACGGATACCTTTTCAGAGGGAAATGGGAAGGTCAGACTCAGGTGTCACATCCGAAGGAGACAGAGTAGTTGGCACTTGAGTAGAGTCACATGGTGGTGGTTGTGATTGGTTTCGGCAACTATAAACCCGAAGAGGCGATGAAGAAGAAGCCGATCACGGAGTAGAAACTAATGGTGAAGAAGACA